TAAGTTATTACTATTACCATTATTATTTATGTTTTACTTTTCCTAGTGTCGAAAAGAAAAGGCCCATTTTTTTTGTCGCACCGGGTCTCTAGTCTTTCAGGACCGGCCCTGCTCCGATCCTTTCAATCGGAACACCAAGGTACTAGAAAAGAGCAGCCTTCAATTTTTAAAGAAAGAGGATTGGGGATGTTTTTCTTGTCTCAATTAGAAACGAGCAGCCTTCAATTTTTAAAGAAAGAGGAGAAATGAGGATAAAAAAAAAAGAAAGAGAAGAAACGAGCAGCCTTCAATTTTTAAAGGGGGGATTTACCCAAATAGGAGTAATTAGATACTTAATTGTCAAACTAGGACTAAAGTTTAAAAATTCCCCAAATAGGAGTTATTTTATGTAGTTAGACAAAAATATCCCTAAACCTTGACAAAACATAATCTCGCTGAAAACATAATCTTGCTGACAAATCGCCGGACAGACCCCAGCCGGCCGTAGAGCGCCGCAGACCGCTGCAAGACACCGTTGCTTCATCAAAACTAGCCACCTCTACAGATCTAGTAGCTGCCATTGCAGATCCAGCCGCCGCCGCCTCAGATCTGTACAGATTTGGCCGCCGCCCGCCACCAACTGCCGCCCTTGCAAATCCGGCAGCCACCTCCACATATCCAGCCACTGCGACTGCAGTTCCGATCACCATCGTCGATGTAATCAATTTTTTAGTTGAATGCCAACATGAATCAAGAAATACCATATTAATGGCATTTTCCAAGGGAAATAGAACGTTTTTGAAGAACAAAAATGCCATTTTGATGGCATTTCTAGGAAAATGGATATCAAACCTTCAACCAAACAAAATGCTAGAAAGAGACATACAAAGAAGATGAGGAGGGAGGAAGAAGAATGTGTAACTTTACTCCGCCTATGCTCGCCCGGCCCATGCTCGCCCATGATCTCCGCCGCCACTGGCCGCCACCACTCGCTGCCGCCACTCGCCGCCGCCACTCCCCACACCAGAAGGGCTCGTTGTTGCAGGCTGACAATCGAAGAAGATGAGAGGACGAGAAGATGAGGACTCGTTGCTGCCAAAGAGAAAGAGAAATTGAACGGATAATGTGTGGAGAAGGGGGGAAGGTCTGGGTGGAGGATAATGCTACACGTAGGGGGTAATTTTGGAATAATGGTCCCCTTTAGCGAATATAATTTCACGGCTCCTACTTGAGCATTTGACTATTAATTTAGTCCCACCGAGGTCAATTTTTCTTTTTAAAGAGGCTGAGGTTTCTAGGGAACAAATGGGAGTGACACGGAGTCTCGTGTAGTTAACCAATGTTAATACTTCAAATAATCCGAACTATCACTTATCTTCGAGTAATCTATTAAAAAAATCTCAAAATACTCTAGAGATAGTTCTCATTAATAAGTAAATGACTATATAGATATTTTCTTTTTCAATAATTGGGATTGTTATGTGATATTTGATGGTTTGGATTATTTCAAGCACATCACTCATAATTAGAATTATTATTGTCCATTTTCCCTAAAATTTACTCGTTGTATACTAAAGACTAGGGAGAGTGTACGTTATACACCCGGTTAATATACTAAAGTCTAGAGAGAGCGTACACTATACATCCGATTGGACAGTGTTCACTGTACAATCGAGAATTGTATGTTATATTTAATGAGTATAACGTTTAAAAGAGTTGGGTATTGATATTAAATCAATGTATTGATAGCACAATCCAGTATTAGAAGCATGTAATTGAGTATAATAATCTACACATAATAAATATGCTACAAATCAACTTATTCAATTAACTGTATTATCTTTGTATTATCTTCAAAATATTTATTTTGCTAATTTTATACTCCGTAATTTAATACCAATACTCTATACTCTTTTCATTTAAACATTATACTGTACCGGTGGGCGTAGCTCAACTGGTAGCGAGGGAGTGCCACAAGGGTTAGGTCTCGGGTTCGAATCCCGGCAACTGCGATGAGGGGTTACTATGCTGAAAAATGCATAGGGCTTCTGCAAGTACCGAGGACAGAGCCCCACTCTCTATCTGTCAGATTGTGATTATAGTCCAATTTACATCCTCCCATCGTGCTGTCCGATCGGTGTTGGGGGGCCCTCAGGGATGGGGTGTCATCCTTTTATTTAAACATTATACTCAATTATTTTAATACTATCGTATAAAATACGGAGTACCTACTAGTTGGCTGGAAGGCGCAACATTTATACTGATTCTGATTCTAACCAAAATTCCAAATGTTATCCTACTTCTGAATTTTCAATTGCTTGCCTCCCGTAAACTAGGTGATATATAATCGAGAATACTGTGATTTTGTATTTGTATTTGTTTAATTTTTCCGAATACGAATTCAAATACTCCCTCCGTTCTTTATTATGTGTCCTCTTAGGCTTTGACACGGGTTTTAAGAGGAAAATAGTAGGGATAGTGTAAAAGGTGTAATGAGTAGTGGGTAAATGAAAAAGTAGGAAAGAGAAAGGGGTAATGGTAATAAAAGTGGGGGTATAAAGGTATATTTAAAGTAAAAACTTTCCTTAAATGGAAAGGAGGACAAATAAAAAAAAAACGTCCCAAAAAGGAAAGAAGGACTTTTATTAAAGAACGGAGGGAGTATGAAATGAATTTATTTTTTATTTGTATTCGTATTTGTCTAACAATACGAATAATTAACGAATCATATACGAATATCGAATCGATTTGATTATAAGTTAAATATTAGTCTTTTGTCCAAAAAAACTAATATTTAACTAGTATAAGTTTCATATTAGTCAAATATCACTTTAAAATAACTTTTCCATATTTTTTTTATGTTATGAATGCATGCGATGACTTAATATGTGTTTTAGAATTTAATTGTAACATTACATTTTGCTTTAAAATATAGTGGATCGATGTATTTTTAGGTTGTGCACAATATACTAAAGTGAATATTTGTAACATTACATTTTGCTTTATGAATCGAAATCATGAATTGAATTAAAAAAAATTGTTTCGTTTATAACCCTCATGATACTTCTGCTTTATTACAAATTGGCTTGAAATATGTATACATAAATGTATATATATATGGGCTACACTTTGAAGGTATAACTAGCTTTTAAAAGTTATTATAGTGTTAGTACTACTATTATTACTATTACAGTTTATTATTATTATTATTATTATTATTACTATTACTATTACTATTACTATTACTATTACTATTACTATTACTATTACTATTACTATTACTATTACTATTACTATTACTATTACTATTACTATTACTATTACTATTACTATTACTATTACTATTACTATTACTATTACTATTACTATTACTATTACTATTACTATTACTATTACTATTACTATTACTATTACTATTACTATTACTATTACTATTACTATTACTATTACTATTACTATTACTATTACTATTACTATTACTATTACTATTACTATTACTATTACTATTACTATTACTATTACTATTACTATTACTATTACTATTACTATTACTATTACTATTACTATTAGTATTACTATTACTATTAGTATTACTATTACTATTATTATTAGTATTATTATTATTATTATTATTATTATTATTATTATTATTATTATTATTATTATTATTATTATTATTATTATTAATCGAATATATTTGATTAACATTCGAATCGAATATACTGATTTTTGTATTTGTATTTGATAACAATTCGACTCAAATTTAGTATTCTTATTTGTATTTGTATTTGAATTTTTTGAATTTGAATCGTCTTATACGAATTTGAATCCTGAATCGAGCATAAATTATTTGATTCGTATACAACCCTACCGTAAACCACATTTAAATATTTCGAAGTAGATAAATCATTCCGTTGAAAAATCTATGAATTTCCGTTCTTCCATATTCACATAAAATAGATTAGTCATGGACCTGGTTCGGGCCGCCCGGCCCGGCCCGCTACTGTCCGGAACAGGCCCGTTTCTCGGGTCCGGTTCTCGGGTCCGGGTCGGGCCTAGGCCCGGTGGGGGGCGGGTCCGGGCTCGGGCCTTGTATTTGGCGAACCGGCCCGGCCGGGTCGGGCCCGGGTCCGGGCCTAATTGAATTTTTTTTTTCATTTTTTGGGATACACCCGGGTTGGGCTTGATGGTTAGGAGGGGTTTGGGGGTTTTGGGGGGTGGAGGGTGGGGGGGGGGGGGGTTAGGAAAGCAAAAAAAAAAAAAAAAAAAACCGGAGGCCCGGCCCGGACCCGAACTGGACCCGGTGGCTACCCGGTCCCGGGCCTTCCTTCCAAAAAAAAAGCCCGGCCGAGCCCGTCCCGGAACCGGAACCGGCCCGGCCCGGGTCCATGACTAAAATAGATGAAGCAAAATCATTAATCGACTTCGAATGTCAACTTCAGCTGATTTACAGTCAACATTATCAGCTTCATAAAATCAAAACTTTGTTTAGCCCAATATGCAAATGCCCGTTTTAAGGTTGTGATTCCAGCAACTATATGCCATTTACACGAATAAAGAACATGTAGTGAAAGGCCGTGATTTAGTTAAATATACACTTAGAAAACTTTGTTGTCGAAATGTGAAAAAACAAGAGTTAAAATAATTCTTACACAAATGCACTCTCCTTGACGACTTAGTGTGTTTCACATGACATGTTTTAAGATAATAAGTTTATTTGATATGAAATGAACAGTTACTTCTTATTTCAAAAAGCACCCATAGCCACTCTAAAAAAAACAAAACACCCATAGCCCATAGGATCTTTTGGGAAGGAAAACAAACGCTTATAAGTCTTGAATGAGAAAGCACCTCATGTTAAGGTACTTGTACGGTTATACATTATTAAGGTGTATTCTGGAAGAAAGTTGTCACTATATTGTTCGTTTAGATGCCTTTTATTTTTTTAGTGTAATTACAGGCACTCTTTAAACGGACTTTTAGATTTTGATCAAGTGCATATAGAGAGAGATCTACTTCATAAATAACTTGTGATAGGTCATCTGCTCATGGACAGAGAGGAACTAGACTACTTTAAAAGATTTTAAAAAAATACTCCGTAAGAACACAAAGTGCATGTGTTACTTTCCAAAATCAGTCAAAGCTTGTGGAGTGCACCAGAGCAAAGAAAGACAAAAAACTGCAAAACAAACCAGGTTTCATAATTCAACAGCCTACTAAAGCATTAGCATACTGACATGCCAAAAGGTTAGCAGTTTCCAAACTCTCGCTACCAAATTCAAATTAGGCTTAACGTCAGTGTGACTTGGCTGCGGACTCTGCAGCTTCATAATGGCAGGCTCACATATGTCCTCCAGCTCTTTCATCTTTTCCTTAAATATGCGAGCATCACCAAGCAGGTAATTCCAATCAAACCACTTAACTGTATGATCAATTGCCTTTGCTAAAACAATCATGTCCTCCTCCATCTCTACCCTCTTTCCACAGACTCTCAAAATCCCCCTCGCCTCATGAATGTAATTCTCTAGAGCATTTTTAGCAGCAGATGCTCTCTTGCGCTCCTCATCTTGAGCCCTATACTCCTCTGCCTCCTTCACCATGCGGTCAATCTCCTCCTTTGACAACCTTTGGCTGCGATTAGTTATTGTTATTTGTTTCTTGTTGTTACTTCCCACCAGTTCGGCAGAAACAGTCAAGATACCATTAGAATCAATGTCAAAATTGACATTGAACTTAGCCTCTCCTTGTGGTAGTGGAGGAAGGTCGTCGAGGGAAAATTCTCCAAGGAAGTTGTTGTCTAGTGCTATGGGCATCTCTCCCTCATACACCTTGAACTGACAACAGAGTTGGTTGTCAAACCCAGTGCTGTAGTGTTTCTTTGTCACATTTGTAGGGACAGCTGTATTCCTTGGAACCACAACAGACATTTGCCTTTCTACACCCACCTCAATGCCAAGAGATAACGGAGTAACATCCACGAGTACAAGATCCTTATTAACACCCAAAAATGCACCAGTCAGTGATGCAGCCTGAAAAGATGCTCCATGGGCAACAGCTTCATCTGGATTTATGCTTTTGCAGAGCTTCTTTCCTTCGAAGAGATCTTGTAACATATTCTGAACCTTAGGGATTCGGGTAGACCCGCCAACCAGAACAACATCATGAATATCACTTTTCTCCATTTTGGCATCCTCTAAGCACTTCTCAACTGGCACCATACAATTTTCAAACAGTCTAGATTCATTTTATCAAACAGTGCACGGGTAATGTTTGAAGAGAAATCAATACCCTCAAAGAGACAATCAATGTTAATGGATGTCTCAGTCGCTGAAGACAGAACTCTTTTTGCCCTCTCACAGGCTGCTCTGAGCCGGCCAAGAGCCCTAGCATCTTCACTAATGTTTTTTTTGTGTTTCTTCTCAAATTCAGCTACAAAGTGGCTCACCATTCTGTTATTGAAATCTCCTCCACCAAGGTGAGTGTCTCCATTAACTGCTTTGACTTCAAACACATCCTCCTCCATTTTGACTATAGATACATCAAAAGTGCCACCACCAAGATCAAATACCAGTATATTCTTCACAGCAGAATCACCACTTCCACTTACAGTTCCTTTCTTGTCAAGACCATAGGCAATTGCAGCAGAAGTGGGCTCATTGATTATGCGTAACACATCAAGCCCAGCAATGACACCAGCATCTTTTGTTGATTGTCTCTGGGCATCATTGAAATAAGAAGGAACAGTAATAACAGCTTTCCTGACTTGTTTTCCCAGGTAAGCCTCTGCAATGCTCTTCATCTTTTGGAGGATCATTGATGATATCTCCTCAGCTGCAAATTGCTTCTCTTCACCCTTGTATGTCACAGCTATCATCGGTTTCTCTCCACAGCCACTGTCAGGACCAGCTATGACTTTAAATGGCCACTGTTTGATGTCATTTTGTACTATTTCATCGCCAAACTTTCTACCTATCAGCCTTTTCACATCTGTCTTTCACAAGCAGGAAACAGTCAATGTATAAAATGCTAAATAACCGCACAACCTCAACTACCACATGTTTATTTTATGAAGCACTATTCAAATGTTTATATCCTAATTGCATCTTATAAAAACGTTTTCATTTGGTTGTGAGACATGTCTTGCTAGGAAGATCTTAATTTTCCAACTCGAGCGCGTCCATTAGTGTTTAGGATAACATTCAAAAAAGAAAAAAAATGGAGATTTGATTAGGCTTGAACTGGTTGGTATCACTTTGGTGTATATTTAAAAGGTAGGATGAACAATAGAAGTTGCACACTTGCTGACTTGCACATATAGAGGTCTATGTATTTAGGCCCCCTTTGTGAATAGTTTTAACATTGATGTTTAAGCATAAATGATTTCAAAAACTACATTAATACGGAGTAATACCCTAAAAGAAATTGATCAAAATCGAAGCAGTACATTGAGTCATTTACCGATGTGTATAAATAAAAAAATGACACACTAGATGATATTTGCGGGCGAAAACTGAACAGTATCAATTTAAAAACAAAGGCCAAAAAGAAAACAGGGATCAAAATCTGTAGAGGAAAAAAACAAACCGAAGATGGTATTGGAAGGATTCATCGCTGCCTGATTCTGAGCAGATTCACCTATATGGCGTTCAACGTCGGTGAAGGCAACCCATGACGGCGTCGTACGGTTGCCCAAATCGTTGGTGATGATCTCAACCCGGGCATGCTGTGGCTGCCAAACTCCAACACAAGAGTACGTCGTTCCCAAATCGATCCCTATCGCCGGACCTTCTTCTTCTTCTTCCGTTGATATTCTTCCCTTCTCTTCTTCCACTTCCACATCAGGCGAGTTGTCTTCCATTTTCTTCGATTCCTTTCGCCTTCTGTTTAGTAGTAATGTTGACAGGAGAGTTGAGGGTTTCGCCTGATTTCTGATTTCGTGGCCCTCTTTAAATAAAAATCTTTCCCGCCGAAGTGTGAAAGAATACGAAGAACTATCGAGCTTTGTGTTGAAGATGTCGAAGTCTCACAGAGTCACAGTACATTCTTTTGTACGGAGTATATGAGTGGCCACTTTTTATTTTTCACGAACATCAATGGGGCAGCTATTAAAAAAATGGGCATTCATGCAATTGATATTGAATTTCTGAAATAAAAGTGAGTTATTATAATATATTACCTTGAAATAATGACAAAAGTAAGGTTTGGGACTTTTGAGTTGACAAAAGTAGGACCATTTTTTCTTATGGTTAAAAAAGAGACCACGCGTAACGGAAGAATTTCCCTCTTCTGCCTCTGCGAGCTAGCTAGACCAAAGACGCACCACACCAACTACATCTCTCTGCTTCTGCTTACCTGCGCGACTCTCACAAACCACGCAAGGTCCACCACCGCCAGCCGGCTACGTCGACGGCGACAACCAGGGATGTCGACGCCTTGCTTTCCGCTCCATCCCCTGAAAAAACATTGGCGGTTTGGCGCCTCCGTCTCTGTCCGCGCGCGTCGGAACCTGCCTCCTCCGTCCCTTGTGGCAGACCGCCGACCGCCATCCATATAATCTCTTTTCTTCTTCTATTTCTTTGAATCTGTTCGAGACGGCGGATGACATATCATTGCTGATTTGGGATCTGGATCTCTGCTTCACCGGGTTGATTCAATGGTGGATTAGGGTTTCAGGCTAGAGGTGACGCGATTAAGGTAGGGCGGTGCGGCGGAGCAGACATGAATGTCACGGGGGAGGGTGCTGGTACAGGGGAGGGGCCTGGTGCAAGGGGAGGGGGGGTGGTGCCATAGGGGACTGGGGCAGGGGTTTGGGGCTGAAGCAGGGGCAGGCTGGGCAGCTGTCACCGGTGTGGGCAGTGGTCGGGGCGGTGATGGTCGGGGTCGGGCGCAGCGGCGGTCGGAGCGGTGGTGGCCACGTTGGTCATGGTCACTAATTGGTCACGATCGGGTTGGTCACGGGTCCAATTGGTCATGGTCGGGTTGGTCACGGTCGGATTGGTCACGGTCGAATTGGTCACGGTCGAATTGGTCACGGTCGAATTGGTCACGGTCGAATTGGTCACGGTCGGATTGGTCATGGTCGAATTGGTTACGGTTTGATTAGTCACGGTCGAATTGGTAACGGACGAATTAGTCACGATTGGGTTGGTCACTGGTCAAAATGGTCACTGTCACAAGTTTAGTCTCATTTTTGGAACTTTTTGAAAGTAGTCCTATTTTTGTCAAAGAGATTTGTTTTAGTATTATTTTTGAACAAACCCCTATTACCTTCCTCCCATAATGGTTGTCCATTTTCAATTTGACACAATTATTAATAAAGTAATTGAAAAGTAAAAATTGGGGTTGAGATTTGAGTAGAATAAAGTGAATTGATAAGAACCACATATTTCATCCAAAAAGGACACAAGACATTCATTTTGGGACAACCCAAAAAAGGAAAGTAGGACAAACAAAATGGGAGGGAGGGAGTAAATTATATCAAAATTTGGTATGACACATCTTAGTAGAGTTTTGAAAAGGAAAGATGGTGATAATTTTAGTTGGATAGAGGGAGTAACTTTTAATTTCAGGCGCCGAGTTCTCTAATAATCAAAAGAAGTAGAGTTGAAGATAATTTTCTAATTGAATGGATTAAAACTATTGTAAACGATCATTTTAACTATTTGTATACTACGTATAATTTATTTTTTATTTTATTAGTAGTAATATTTTTTTAAAATAATTTTTTCATTTTTCAACATTATCAGACAATCCAACCAGAGCCGTCTAATAAATTTAGAAGTCCTGTTTTAAATACCAAAATGAGACCCCGCAAAAGGAGACGTCTTCTGTTGTACTACTGGGAAGTGAAGAGATGCAATCCTAGCCGCATCCTTCTATTTTTTAGCAATTATTTTAGCAAGTACTACCTCCGTCTCACTATGTTTGAGACAAAGAAGTGTGACACAACTTTTAAGAAAAAATGGCATCGTGTAATTGATATTGAATTGATAAGATGTGAATAAACAGTGGCGGAGCCAGAGATTTTACGAAGGAGGGGCATATACAAAGGCTAAGATTTATGATGTATTTTCTCAAAATATAATTAAAACTATAAAAAAAAAATGTAATACATTAGCACAAATTAGTCATTACATTTTACTTGACTCATATCTATAATTTGGGTAAATCAATCATACGAGTTTTAATATGTTCAAAATTTTGCAAAGGAAAACGAGCTCATAGGACTCTTGTACACTCATCTACACTCTCAAAACTCAAAAGGTTCACATAGAAATGAGCAGTCTTACCCCTATCTATACCAATCTCATCAATGCTTCTTTAGAATTGTGTATACACCATTACACATCTACATTCTTCCAAGAAGTATCCACAACCTTCTCTAATCTAATAGAAGGATCTAGAGAACTCCACAATTCTTCAAAATGTTTTACAGGCTTTCACACTCTTCCTCACGATTTTAGTAGGTTCCACACTTTTAGAGAAAACTTACCAATGTTATTCTAGAATATTCAATATTTCTCTACACGCATGTACAAAATCCTAGATATCTTTGCAAATTCTAATATTCTCATGAATTTTTCCATTAAGGAGGGAATCCAACACAATCTTGAGAATGTTTTGATCATTTTGTTTCAAGAAGTGCGACAACATATTCGTTAATCCGAGTACTCTTTTGCACTATAACCACAAAAAGTCAACTCGTGCGGCATTAAAGGTCTAAAACAATCCACAATTGCATTCAAATGAGTGACGTATGCTACAGTCAATACGTACTTGTATTTTAATAATTAATCTAAAATTGTCTTTAATGAGTATTTACTTTTGAAAAAGAATATATAGGAATATTAAATATGTTATAGTAGTAGTACTGATATTTTTGGCCCGAAGCGGGGGCGCTTGCCCCTGCATGCCCCCGCCTAGCTTCTCCACTGTGAATAAAGTAAGAATGAATTGTATCAATTCAAATATTACCAAATATGATATGAAACCAACTTACTGGAACGAACAAAAAAGTAAAACGGGACAAAGTTACTTAGACTGATGGAGTATTTTTTAGCAACTTCTGAGTTCCATCTTCCGTTGTACTATTGTAGTCCTAGCGGCATGCTTCTTTTATTTATTTATATTACTCCGAATATTATTAGAATTATTTTCTAATTTCCTATAATACTAGGTAGATTCTATGGTACCCATAAGGTACCATACTTTTGTCCATATGGACCAATGGAAATGTAGCAGTTGAATTATTTAAATCTAAATTAAAAATAATAAAATGATATGATCCAATCAAATGAATGATAAGTACGGTACCCCATTTTTAGAAGGGTACCGGAGTTGTCACCATAATACTACTCGTATATACGGAGTAGTACTAACTACTAAGTACTATTAATAAATAAAAAATTGCCCCCCCCCCCTAAAAAAAAGGATCGTGTACTAGAGAACACCCTACACATGCCAAACGCCAGCTCTGAATTCAACAACTTCAACCAAAATTTCATAAATTTCAGCATTATCAACTGATTTAGCTAATTTTTGTATTACGAAATCAGACTCTTAATTGAAATTAACCCATTATTATTATTATTACTCTTACGGTAAACAGGAGATCATTTTGACGGTTGGAATTTCACAAACTCGTCTTTTGAACGTACATCTTAAAAACTTATAATTGTCAATGAGGGTTGGGGTCTTTTAGGTATTAAAAATGTGTTGGTGTAATCTATAGCTTTATTATGTTGTAAATTCTACTTATGTTGTTGTACGGTTCATGCTTTCTCCCTCCCGTCTCCTTGGCTTCCGTTAATTATCAATGTACCAACTTCAACTTCCGTTAATTATCAACATAGGAGAAGTTCTGGGCCGAATAGAGGAGGAATAAATACCCGGCCAGCTCTATCCATTAATTAACATTTGACTATGAACAGTAATTAATCTGGTTGGATTACTATTCGAGTATGCGTTGAGCATTGCGGTAAAAATAATAAAAAAGCATTTCTATGATGGGAAAGAGACTTGAATTTTACATTTTTTATACACATAAAAATGTAAAAGAGCTGGTTTAGACTTTAGAGCATTCGAGTCTCCTATTTGTCAGTTTTCATTGTTATTGCTATAAGTGAATTTTCTTTTACTCCGTATGAATTTACTTTTCCTCCTATTTTGCTCACCCTCTAATTTATAATACATCACTATAACAATTTTGCCTATCAAGTAAAGTTTTAGGCATACAAGTTTATAATATCAGTGTTGATTCTATACAAATTGAAACTGTGTTTCTCAGATGCAAATTATAAGACAAATTCACTATTGATAATATCAGTGTGATATGCTTGTGTTATTGATAATTCATTCTTGATGCTTGAAAGGAATACAGATACATATAACGAGTTAAAGTTTCAAATTAATTATAACGTATTAAATTTTTACCAATTAGGCATTTAGTGTAATGTGTGTAAAAATGTTCACTCTTTTCATATTTTTGATTGTTACATATTTTAGAAATTTTTGATTGCTACATATTTTGACCTATTTTCTAGAAAAGTTTAATGCAACGATTTTCTTCTCTCTAATACTCCCTTTGTCCCGTTTTAGTAAGCCAACCTTGACATTTCAAGTCAACGTCTAATTTTAATTGATTATATATTTATATACAGAAGTATTGATGATATGAAAATATTCTTTGTTAGCAAAAGTATCATAAAAGTATAAACGTATTAAATTTTGCATAAATATATCAGTTAAAATAATTGGTCAAAGATGCCTAATTAAAATGAGACGGAGGAGTATGATTTTCTCATATTTGCACGAGATTTTTGTTACACTATGAATATAAGCATTTTTTTAAAATGGGGTGGTCGGGTTCTAAGTTGCCCCACCCACCCACCCACCCACCCCAGCTATGCCCCTCAATGTGAGCCCAAAGAGAATATCATCCTCATGGAATGTCAATTTACAATAACAAATTAAAGTGTAACAAAAAGAACATGAATAAGAGAACAATGTTATGAAGTCATTGCAATTTATGCTATACTTAATGTTTTGATCTAAGACCATTTGTT